ATTCGTCACCCTAGTCCTTTTAATTTGTTGTTTGTTCAGCCTGATACTCCAGAAGGTGAGGGGTTGGACTTGTTCATCATTACTACTGAACATAGCCTGAATTAATCTTGTTTCTAATGCCCAACTGATTTTTTTCTTTGCACTAAGGTGCAAATGTACACTAAAAATGTACAAATACAAAACTTCCTCAAGGTAAAAATTCATAGAAATGAGGGAACTTGCTGTCAAAGTTAGAAGAGCTTTCCCTCTCTGCAGTGCAGAACACTCAGCCCTTAAGAGGTGGGGACCATCAACTTTTACAAACACGTTAGTTAAAGCATACAGATAAATCAAGAAAAGTTTCAAATGAAAAATGGTGACTGAGCAACAGGTTTGGACATTCCTTCAATGTTATTGAAGAACATGTTCTAGTCTACTTATTGCTAAACATTCTTCTTAAAAAATATATTCTGTTTATTTTAGGAATAGCTTATTTATATATTACTAGTTTATTTCCACTGTGGTCAGGAAGATACTTTATGATTTCAATTTTTTTTCATTTATCGGAAATCGTTTTATTGTCCAGCATATGGTCAGTTTTGGTAAACTTTCCATGCACATTTGAAAACATTCTGTAGTTACTGAATGCATGATTGTGGATTTGTTTATTTCTCCATTTAATTCTGTTAGTTTATATCTTAAAATTGTTAGGGCTATTTAATTAGGTAGATGTAAATTTAGGTTATCACATCTTCCTTATAAATTGATCATTTTATCACTATGAAATATCCCTCTTTATTACTATTAATACAAAATAATGAATTATTATCACTAATAATACAAAAATATTTTAAAGTATTAATCTTTCTTTTAAATTTGTCAAAATAAAATCTTTTTCTTTATCTCCAGAATTATTGTACACAGTTTTACTTTGGCTCTAGTAATACTACATAATAAAGTATGTTTAATTATTCAGTTTCTTTTTCTGTTAGTTTATTTGTATTACTTTTTTATTTTGTATTCCAGTTATTACAACATGCATCTTTGATTTATGAGAATTTACCTTAAATTATTATTTTTACCAACTGCCAGACATTGCAAGGATCTTATAACACTTAAAATTTTTTTCTAGTTTTATTGGGATGTGATTCACATACAACATTGTATTTGTTTAAATATGTACAACATAATAAGATTTGATGTATGTATATTTTGTATCATGATTGGCACAATGTATTTAGTTAACATCCATTGCCTCATATAATTATAATTTTTTTCCCATGTGATGAGAACTTTTAAGATCTACTCCCTTAGTAACTTTCAAATAAACAATACAGTATTGTTAACTATAGTCATCATGCTATACATTACAGCACCAGAATTATTTATCTTATAACTGGAAGTTTATACCTTTTGACCACCTTCCTCCACTTTTCTCATCCCCCAACTCCCTGCCTCTGGAAACCATCAATCTGTTCTGTTTTATGAGTCCAGTTTTTTAAGATTCCACATGTATTTGCCTTTCTCTGTCTGACTTATTTCACTTAGCATCATGTCCTCAAGGACTTATAACACCTTAATGCTATTTAACTCTCTACTCTTCATGCTTCTGCTATTGTGTATTTCAATTCAACATATATTTAAAAACCCACAGACATTAGTATTATGGTATTAACTAATTAAAATTTATTTGTGTTTCTACTATAGTTATTCCTTCTGTTGTTGCTCCTTTTTGCATTATTGTGCTTCCATTTAGGATCATTTTCCTTCTGCCAAAAGAATTTCCTTTCGTATTTTAGTGCAAGTCTAATGGTGATCAGTTCTAAGTTTTTGTCTGAAAAAGTATTTATTTTGCCTTCGTTTTTGAAGGACATGTTCATTAGGTATGGAATTCCCAATTCACATTTATTGTCTTACATTATTTCAAAGACGTGATTCAATTGCTTCATGGTTTGTGTTACTTCTATTGAGAGGTCAGCTCTCAGTCATGCTGCCTCTTGAAAGGTAGTATGTTTTTTCTTGCTTCTGTTCAGATTCTCCTCTTTCTCACTGGTGTGCAGCACTTTCACTATGATATCCCTAGGTATGATTTTCTTTGAGTTTATATTGTCTGAGGTTTGCTGATCTCCTTGAATTTATAACTTGATGACTCTTGTCAGTTTTAGAAAATTCTCAGGCAGTATTCAAGTATTGCTTCTTCCAAAATTTCTTCCTCCATTTACATGTATGTTAGATTTCTACATGGGGCCCCACAAATCTCTCATGATCTATTTTTAAAATATTCTTTATATTTTTTCCCTCTTTGGAGTCTTTATTCTGGACACTTTCTACTGAGCTATCATTCAGTTCTTTAATCCTGTTTCCTGCTGTGTCAAATACGTTATTAAATCCATTCTTTAAATTCTTAATTCAATTATTGTATTTTTTCTGTTCTAAAATTTCCCTTTAAATTTTTAAAAATATATTTCAGTTTAGTGAAATTCCCCAGATTTTCA